ACCCTCAGTTCGTTCTCTGTATTTAAGAGTCTCTTATGGTTTAGGGCACTTATTTTATTTATTAATTTTTAATTTAATTTCTATTTTTTTATGTTTATTTTTGAGAGAGACGCGCGCACACACACACACACACACACACACACAGCATGAGCAGGGGAGAGGGAGACACAGAATCCGAAGCAGGCTCCAGCCTCTGAGCTGTCAGCACAGAGCCCAATGCGGGGCTCAAACCCATGAACCATGAAATCATGACCTGAGCCAAAGTCAGACCCTTAACCGACTGAGCCACCCCAGGCGCCCCTTGGGGGAATTATTTTAAATCAGTGTTCATAGTACAATAATTAAGCACTTGCTGCACACTTCAACATTGTTCATTTATTGATGGGCTACCTGTTAAGGTCATGACTTCACGAGACTGACTTTCAAGCAACTCTCTCCAATAAAACTTTCTGTGATGATGGAAGTGTTCTCTCTTGGCTGAGCACTACTGTAGCCATCAGCCACATGTGGCTATTAAATACTTGGAGCATGCCTAGCGTGACTAATAAACTACGCTTTCAATATTAATTAAGCTAATTTAAACTTCAATCAGCAAATGTGGCTGGCGGTTACCCTATTGGACAGTGTGGTTCTGGAGGGTCAATACAGTTGGTAAAATAGTCTTATGTTCAGGGGACAGAAGGCACGAAGTTGTTTTTATTATTGGCACTTTCATGGCTGGAAATAGGTTAGAGGTTTTTCCATTTAAAACCATTTTAAGCTAAATATTTCTTCAGTGCTTGGCACATAAAGTCAGTAAGTGATCGGATGGTATTACTAGGTCTCCCCTTACTCCACCCCCAGTCTCAGCAACTCATGTATCTGATGCATCCTGGGTGAGGTCACTAACAATTTTCCCCTAAGATTGCCAGACCTGTAGACTTACCTCTCAACCTGCCTGGGTCTTGGTGGGAGTTCAGAGCAAGACAGTTATGTGTGCTGCTGTCTACTGACTTCCAGCACTCCTAGGCTCCGCACCCCCTCAGTCATGCCTCTGGCTTGCAGACTTCCAGCCTCGCATCCATACTTCTCCAAGCCAGACCACTCCTAGACGCCATCCACAACCCCCACTTAGGGCCCTGAGAGGTCTGTGGCCATAAGCACCTCTCTGCAGCGTGCTGATGTGACCTTGTTCAGTTGTGGCTCCTAAAACCGGCATCACCCAATTGGGGGATGAGCAATTGCAGGGGTCAGAATCACGCTGTTGGACACAGTTGAAGGGACCGAGAATGAAATCACTTAGACGACGTCATCCGATAGATGCTGTTTATGAAACACACTTTTATGTTGTGCTAGGCATTGGGCTACGCGCTTCAGATTGTCCTCTAGCCCGCACAGCCACCACATGTCTTATTTGTACATATTTTAGACATGTGCTTAGGCTCAGAGAGGGTAAGTGACTTGCCCAAAGTTGCATAGCTAGGAAGCAGCAGACCTACGATTCCTGTTTACGCTCTTTGGCTCTCATTATCGAAGAGGGACAGGTCTTCAAAATCAGTGCAGAAAGAATAGATTTTAGGTGACTATAAACAACGATGTTCTACTAATTTAAGGCCTTCACTGCAAACGTCTCCCTCTGTGAAGTATGCTGTGCCCCTCAGGAACAGCTCACAGCTGAGGCCTAATGCTGGCGCATCGGTACTGTGATGTAAAGGCCTTCTTGAATAAGCAGGACGTTGCAAGTGGAAGATGAATTCTCAGGGCCTTTCTGATTCAGATCCCTTCTGAATACAATTTCCTCTCTTGAGGACATTTATTGCCAATTTACTCCCACATGACTACTTTTTTTTTTTATTTTCCATGCAATTCATAAAGACCATTCTTTTTGCTGGGTGAAACCAGAATGTAATGTATTCATCATTCAAATTTGCATAAACAGGGTATTCTCTCCCTTCGGCCAGGCTGTGTAAGAATCCACATCACGTTTCACTGGGGAATAAAGAATGGCCTGGATCATGAAACTCAAAGATGATTGCCAAAAGTATTTTAAACATTTGGCGGACTGTCTTAGTTCTGTTGGATATTAATGTTCACGGGAATGGCAGGCAGGAGAGGAAGAACAAAATATGATAGATTTCAAGTTATACGATGAGCTCTTAAATAACTGAGATATGCTGTTATTTTTTTTAACATAGTCTTAGTGTTATATTGTGCTCCTTAATTATTTCTGATATGCTTCCTTTGTGCCAGATGTTAACTAGCATTTTGGCTTTTTTTTTTTTCAAGTGTATTTTGTGTGTTTTGAGGGAAAACAACACTGAATGTCCTCAAGTTTGATTTTTGATATTTGTATTGTCAGAAAGTGTGCTGAGCTTCTGTAATTAGAATATAAGCTCTGTGGGACATGTCACTGAGGATAACTTTATGGGAAACTGTAGGATTAGAAAGCTGTTTTTCCCCTTTAAGAACATTTGTAATTTGCTTTGGGAAAGAGTCATCAATGTGTGTCCTCATTTTCTCTGTGCTCCCCATCCTGTCCTCCTCCTGAACTACTCCTGATTGTGGCACCCTCACCTCACACAACTTGTGCCAGGGTTTGGACGTGAATGCCTACCTAATCTGAGGAGATCTAACATCTATAGTTGTCTCCACGGAGATGGTTGCACATTATGATTATGGCGAACGTTTTCAGTCTTGAAATGATTATCACACGTGATATGCTTTAGAGAGGAAATACCATGTATCCAGATGTGGTGGGTCAGGCAGAAACTGGGTTGGAAAGAATTGAAAAGATTTCACGATAGGAACAGGTAGGATCTCTATTTCAGAACGCTGGCAAGGTATGGATCAGGGAACCAAACACGTCGGGGTTTCTAGCCTAGGATTCTAGAAGGAAGAATCCGTTCAACAGAGAATTTAGAGAAGAAGGCTAGCCTTTCTGGGCAACATAAAGAACATGAGCAAGGAACGCGAGTGGGGAAACTGAGACACGAAGGATGTTTGGGGAATGCCCACTGTTCCAGTTTGCAGCAGAGCTGAAGAAGGAGAGAAAACAGAGTTAAGAAAGAAACATAAGTCGGGGGCTATATTGTGAAGACCCTTAAGGATCAGCGTGAACAGTTTGTAATCAGCCTGTGTAGGAATGGGGGTCTACCTCCCTCCCTCTCAGGAGATTGGCATTTTCCACGAACTCGTCCACATAGTTTTGGCCTGTCTCTCCCCTACAGGGTAAGATCGTTGGTCATATTTATTTTGATTTATAGTACCCATGCTAAACAGATTCTAGGTTTGTGTAACATTTTGGTTGTTGACCGTATATAAATCATTGTGACTACATAGCTCCCTTTATAGGTGCTGATGTGTTTATTGTACTAATATTATGTAACAAATACTAGAAAAGTTTGTTTCATGCAATATATTTGTATGTTACTGTGTATATATGATTTCCATAAATTAAGTTGGCTTAAGAGTACCTTTGTTCGGGGGCAACTGGGTGGCTCAGTCGGTTAAGCATCTGACTTCGGATGAGGTCATGATCTCGCCGTTCACAAGTTCCAGCTCTGCATTGGGCTCTGTGCTGAGAGCTCAGAGCCTGGTGCCTGCTTCAGATTCTGTGTCTTCCCCTCACTCTGCCCCTTCCCCACTCACATACTCTTTCTCTCTCTGAAAAATAAATTATTTTTTAAAAATTAAAAAAAAAAAAGAGTACATTTGTTTACACCAGATTTAAAAAATGTCTTTTGGATAATTTCAATTTGAGCAGATAATTAACATGTGGCCAAAAGGGGACTCGCTTTCTCAAACACTAATTTAGGCTTAGAATCTTAGAGCTGCAGGGCCCTCAGCACCCATTTCTCCTGCTTCCTTCCCTTTTATTTTGCAGATGGGGAAACCAGGCTCAGTGCAAAGTCACATAATCAGTTATTGCCAATGCCAGGGCTAAGATTCTGTTCTCTGCTGTCTTTCTGCCACCCTTCGTATCTGAAATAAGTGACCAACAAAAACATTTAAAGGCCAATACACATTTACAATGAAAAAGTTTCATAGGAAACATCAAAATGGAGCAGTTTCATAATTCAGATAGGGTAGTCATACTTTTGTTTATAACATTACATTGGGGCACTTGCAAAGTTTCTAACAAATCAGTTCTTAACTTATTACAAGTGGCACTCCCCAGTTTTTCCTAACAAAAGTTAACGTGTGGTGGTAATGGGAACAATATGACACCACACCATGAGATCATTTCCTCCCTTGCACATGGCCATGTTTTACTTTGTGATCCGGCTTCTGACGACGTGGTCACTGGAGCATCTTGGAGAAGCAAGGCCCCGGCACTTGGAGGGACATAAATACTTCCGCGTTATATTAACAGCAGATCCTCTGTTCAGGATACTTTCCACGTTAAAGTACAACGAACCCCACTAACAATTACAGCAAGCGTCCTCTGTCCTGGCGTGCACAGGGGCTCTCTGCTGCATGGCCGCTGAATTCTGAACTTGTAACTAACTCTGGGACCCGCTCGCGGGAGGAGGCTGGTTTATCTCTGTCACCCCAGCACAGCCACAAAACCTGGCACGTGGTACGTGCACAAAACCAACGTTAGTGAGGTCTGGACACTTAAGGCTTCCAAGTGACAGTGAAGCAGCGAGCCTGGAAAATGAGGTTTTCTGGGTTCTAACCTGTGTTAATTCACTTTGAGGCAAAGGTAGATTTCGCCCGTCTACGGAGCTCCGGCTTAGTGTTTTCTTCCAAAGTCCCTGAATGCACTCTGACAGGAAGATGGAGCGTAAATCAGGCTGCTATTCACTTGGGAGGCCGTACTGTTTTGTGTCCGTTGTCCCCCCGCTGACCCCTGTCACCCCCGGGGCCCCAAGCTGCTTGAAGCTCTCCGAGCGCGGGAGCTGCGGGAGAGGGGGAACTGAAAAGCCGCGGAACCAGAGGCGAGGGAGCAGCGCGGGCGGAGGAAGGACGAGATGGGGAACCGGCAGGCCTAGCTGCGAGGCGGCGGCAGCGGCGTGGAGATGGAGCCCCTGCGGGTCCTCGAGCTGTACAGCGGCATTGGGGGCATGCACCAGGCGCTGAGAGGTGAGGAGCACACCCCGCCTCTCCCTACGTTCACCCCTCCGCGCTGCTCACAGCCGGGGTGCGGGGGAGGGGCGAAGCGGCGAGACGCTGGGGGCGGAGAATGGAGGGGGAGGGGGCGCTCGGTTGTCTTGGAAACCGCCCCAGCGCTCCGTCCCCGCCCGGCGCTGCGGGCGGAGACTCCTTTCCTCCCGCCCCGAGCGATGCCTGAAGGGCGGCCCCACGTCTCAGAGGACTCCGTTTGTGAGTGCTCATCGGCGAGGCCAGGCTAGAAACTCAAACTAAAATGGTACCCGCGAAGGGGGGAGAGGCGAGCCCCTGCCTGGTGCGGGTCCCCAATTCTAAGTGTGGCTGCCACCTAGAGGCGTGGACACCTGCTGCTTTTGCCCTGGACGAAGTGGAGACGAGGGAGGGGAGGTCGCTGGGGGTCTTGGCCGGTGAGGGGATGGACTTTCGAAGGGATAGCTGCAGTTCAAGGTCGAAGTTAGGGAAGCCTAAATACACTGTGGAGAGAAGGCATTGAGTCAAAACCTGCTCCTTTGTGGCCTTTGAAAAGAAACAGCTGGTCTTGTCTAGATACTTTGGCGCCAGGAGAGCGGAGTTGAAACTTCGTTGTGACCTTGGGCTAGGTCCTTCACATTTTTGAACATGTTTCCTGGTTTTAAAATGTGAAAAATAATCTATTTTCAGAGAAGGCTTGTGAGGATTAGAGATGAGGCGAGTGAAATGTTTAATAATAGTGCGTAGTACATTGTAGCCACTCAAAGCATTAAAAATTATTAGTACTTCTCTTTTATGTACGTCTTCGATTTTGAGATTTTAAATTTCTTTAGTGATAAGTTGGAGCTGAAAGGTTTCGTTTTTGGTGACGTTTGCTCAAAAATAATTCTTGAGCTCCTGTACTGTGCCAGGTACTGTCGAGGCACTGGAGAAACAGCGTGACAAATAGACTTGGAGCATGCGTGTTTATTCTTAAATTACTAAGACAACCACAAAACTGAAACTTGCCTGCTTCCTTTTTTTAGTTTCGAGGGTAAGAAAAGACTACTGTAAGATACAGAGAATATATAATGAGCTGAGCATGATCAGTTTTCTGAGCATATATATTTGGTTGTAGATGAGGTCAGTGATTATTAAATTTTTATTACTTACAATTATTTTCTGGCTCTCTATGTTCACTTCTCTTATCAAAATTTACTAGCTTGAAAACAAAAGAAAATTCTAGGGGTGCTTGGCTAGCTCAGTCAGAGGAGCACAGGGCTTTTGATCTCGGGGTTGTGGGTTCCAGCCTCATGTTGGGTGTAGAGATCACTTAACACGAATGAATGAATAAAGTTTCAAAAAAGAGAAAATTCTGGAACTATCTATTCTCTTAGTTAATTTTGTAAGATTTTATAATGTCAGCATTTTCCCCCTTGTTTTGAAAACCCTTAATGAACATAATTTTAAAGCTTGTTTTGTACTTTGTCATAAACTGTAACTCAACTACTCTTCAAGGGTTGAACATAAGATTATCCCCTAATTTTTTGCAAGTATAAATGTGCTACAATTACATCCTTGCGCATAAATTCTAATTTTCTCTTTAACCGTTTTTTCCAAAAGTGAAATTAATTTGTTTAACATTAAGAGACTGTGTGCCACTTAACAAAGTAAAATTGTGAGAATCTTTTTAAAGGTTTTTGGATAGATAATACAGCAAATTAAGTGCCTCCCTGAACTACATATTCATTAGGAATTGTAATATCCATTTTTTAACCTTTGCTAATTTGATAGGAGAAATTGTATAATTTTAACTTGTGGTTTTTTTTGTTCAATGAAATATAAGTATATTTTCTCCTATTAACCACTGCAACCTGAATTTGTACACATATTTCTGTTACTACTGCTACCATCCTGAATGTAAGCTTTATTAAAATAGTTTCCCAATTGCTCCCCTGCTTCTACTTTTCTTCCCCGCTCCACCCTTTCTCCACAAAAGAGAATGATCTTTTGCACAGTAAATCACATCATGTCACTTCCCTGCTTAAGTGGCTTCCCTTTGAGGTTAGAATCACAGTCCCGTCTTCTCCTCTGCTTTGGAGATCTGGCTTCTGTCTGCCTCTTCAACCTTATGTGCCACTGTCCTCTTCCTTCTCATATCCAGACTCACTGGTCCTTCTCTGGGCTCCTCAAACCCTCCAGGTTCCTATTATGTTCTGGCCTTTGTTTTTGCTGTCGTCTCTATCCAGAGTGCTCTAATCCCAGACTTTTCCGCTGCAGCTGCATTTCATGTCTCCTGTCTTAGTTCACATGTGGCCCCTTCAGAGTAGCCTTCCGTGGCTGACCCTGTGATTCAAAGTAGCCTTCCTGCTGTGTCTCCACCTTGATGGACTCTCACCTTTTGGTTTCAGGCCTACCTATAAGGAGTATTGACTCTTAATCATATCTGATGCAAATATTTTCCCCACATGTTTGTATTCCGGTGTTCATTTGTTTGATGCACCAAAGTTTAAAATTTTTTTGTAATAAAATGCATTGCTGTTTCCCATGTGGTTTTTATACAGTAAGAAAGACCAAAGGTAAGAGCGCTAACTGCAGTATTTATTAAGGACCTTTTACATGTCAGGCTCTATGTTAATGATTTAATAAACTAGTTAGTGGTAAAGCCAGTATTGTAACCCAGGTTTCTGCACCTGACCTCTTAACCATGCTGTGCTGCCATTTTTATGTTTAAATCCACTACTTGAATCTACAGTTTATATAATAATAAGCACAAGAGGAATAATAACTTCAGATTTCTAGATAAGGTTTATGATCGAAACATTTTTTTATTGTGGTAAAATACACATAACATAAAAGGTACCATTTTAACCATTTTTAAGTGTACACTTCAGTGGCATTAACTAAATTCACAGTGTTGTGCAAACATCAACACCATCCTTTCCAGAACTTTTTCATCATCCCAAACAGAAACTCTGTACCCTCTAAACAAGGACTCCCCATCATCTCTTCCTTTTTGTATCTGATTCACTTAGTATGTTTTCAAGGTTCATCCATCTTGTAACACAGAAGTGCTTCAATTCCTTTTTATGGCCGAATAGTTTTCCATTATATGCATATACCACATTTTGTTTATCCATTTCTCTGTTGATGGTCTTGGTTGTTTCCGCCTGTTGGCTCTTGTGAATAATACTGCTATGGGTATTGGTTTCAACGTATCTGATTCCCTGCTTTCAGTTCTTTTGAATATATACCCAGGAGTGGAATTGCTGGAGCATATGATAATTCTATGTTTAACTTTTTGAATAACTGCCAAACTGTTCCACAGTGGCTGCACAATTTTATATTTGTACTAGCAATGTGGGGGGGGGGGGTTCCAATTTCTCCATCTATCAAAATGATTCCTTATTCCAATATATTTGTGTGTGTGTGTGTATGGGTATGTGTGTGTGTGTATGTATATATATATATTTTTTAATTAATTTATTTATTTTTTGGTAATAGTTATCCTAAAGGGTGTGAAGTGATATTCTAGTTTGGTTTTGATTTTGATTGTTCTAACAACTGAAGTTAAGTGTCCATGTGTTTATTGGTCATCTGTGTATTTTCTTTGGAGAAATGTCTATTTATGGCTTTTGCCCATTTTGGAATTGGATTGTTTTTTATTCTGTTGTAGGGGTTCTTTATATATTCTGGATATTAATCCCTTATGACTTATATGATTTGCAGATACTTGCTTCCACATAACTGAATTTTAAAAGATAAATTTAATTGCTTGGGCAGCATGATAGTTTTGTGTGAAAACCAATGGACATTTTAATACCTCAATTGAAATTTTCATCTTAAGAAGGAAATGCAATGTGCTCTTATATTGTTGCAGTCACTATGTAGATACTTCTTTATCTTCTGAGTTTCATTTAACTTTATTTCTTATCTGCATGTCCATGTGTTTACCTACTCCATATCTTCTGGTATTTCTTTTTGTTCCTGTCTAGCTTCTAGCACAGTCCTACACTTGTGACAGGTTGTCTGTGGTTGGCTGTTGAGTTTATTATTGAGTTGGTAATCATTCTACCATTATGTTGATAAAAGCATGGTTTTTTTAGCCCAAATTTTTATATAATACAGAACTCTTCATTACAAACCACATAATCTATTCTCTAGCTAACATAAGCAAAAAAAAAAAAAAAAAAAAAAAAAAAAAAAAAATACACACACACACACACACACACACACACATTTGGAAGCTCACAGAATCTACATAACACCCAGCAAAGAGGTTAGGTGCACTTCTCAAACAACATTCTGGGCTCTGCTCCTACACAGCTTCATACCGACATCACCGCTTTCCCCGATACTGCTGGGGGCCACGTGTGAGAAGTGTCATCACTGTTTTCTCCTGAAGGGTGGATGCTTCTACCATCTCTGTCACCAGAATGATGGATTTTTTTCATTTGCTTCCTCACATTGCTACTTCTGAATTAAAGCTGTATATGGATGCAGTTGATTGGTGCACATTAGATCCCATTGCCAGCAAGGAAAGCTGGGAGAGTGAGTTCTGGGTTCTGTTTTGGAAAGAAGGGACTCAAAATATGGTAAAATTTTCAAACATAAAAGACACAGGCAGAGATTCTAGATGGCCACATGTATAACAAATATCTTTCACATTATTTAAAATATGTTGCACTGTATAGGGTCCACTTATTACTGCTTTGACATTATTTATGCCTACACAGTCTATAAATTCTTGGCTAATGAAATGAAAAGACCTCCATTCAGAAAGCAGTGGGAGAGGTTGTTTTGCGAGTTATATGTTTTTAAAAAAAATTTTTTTTTTCAACGTTTATTTATTTTTGGGACAGAGAGAGACAGAGCATGAACGGGGGAGGGGCAGAGAGAGGGAGACAGAGAATCGGAAACAGGCTCCAGGCTCTGAGCCATCAGCCCAGAGCCTGACGCGGGGCTCGAACTCCCGACCGTGAGATCATGACCTGGCTGAAGTCGGACGCTTAACCGACTGCGCC